TTTCAGTTGCAACCAGAAAAGTCAATATAACTTTGAGAAGCAAATATACCCATGGATATGATAGATTCACTTTTGTCTTCACCATCATCTGGAGAAATTTTACAATGCTATATAGTATTGGTCCTATAGGTTTTTGCTTTTATTGTACAACTTAAAATTGTACATTTACGTTATGGTACAACTTTAGATTGTACCTATACTTTTTGTACAAATTTTTTTATGGTACAACTTGAACTTGTACCTTTATGTGATGGTACAAGTTCAAGTTGTAAAGTTGTACCATAACATAATGGTACAAATTGCTTTATGGTACAACCTAAACTTATACATTTAATGTTATAGTACAACTTTGAGTTGTACATTAAAGCACCAATGCTATATAGCATAGTAGAAGTGCTCCCATCATCTGACATAATTCATCAATTCCTTTTAATCCATGAAATAACTCATCATTCTTAACACAATGATAGTAATTCTCAAAGTCCCGTAGAAGAAAAGAGTTAGAAAGATGACAAAACTATGTAGGATAAATGAGTCGTGTTTAGTTTTAGGGATTTGTTGTCAAATTGAGGATAAAATTAATATGTTTATGATTATACATATCTTAAAATTATAATAATAAATGAAATGTAATCTAATGGAAAACTTGTTAGTTAATAAGTAGGGTGTCACAATTTCAAATCCCACAAGCCACAATTATTTTTCATTTTTTTCTATACTCCAACTACTGCCGGGGGTTCGATAATTCCCCCCCCCCCCCCCCCCCCCCAATTTTAGTGGTGTCTCAAACCTCCCTGGGTCCGCCCTGCTTGGAAGCATGTTTTGACGAACACCAATGAAAAGAGAAGGAAGAAATGAGGGACTTTTTTCCAGAAATAACACTGTTTTAAAAAATAATTCCAAAAATAGCATCCAACCCCAAAAATTTCAAAAAGAACACCATTTCACGAAAACCGCCACCCGGGTGCGCGGATCCAAAACCGCATGGGTAGGGGCCGGTTTTGCCGATCGCGTTGAACCGGGGCAGTTTGGTTGCAAACCGCACCCCCACCCGACAGTTTGGATTATATATTATTTTCCGAATAAATACCATAAGTGGTCTTGGCACAATTGGTTTAGTTGTTTATTGTGTGCAAGAAGTCCTAGGTTTGAATCCCCATCATCTCATAATAAGTTTTTTTATTTAGTAGAGATTAAAAAAAGGAGCATGTTGTGGGGATGGTGATTCGAACCCAAATATAATAAATAGTTAACTAAATTTTACACAACATCTACACCACCAAACTACAACTCTTCTTTTGGAACAAAAACATATTGCCAAATTTTATTCCTTGAACGCTAAAAATCATCAATAACTTTGAATAACCATAACTTTGTGCTCCAAAATCTGAACGTCGTGAATTTTTTTTCATTTTGCATAACTTTTTAAGCACTACAATTTTTACTAGGAATGAATTTTCAAAACAGGAATTATTTTTGGTATACAGGTTTTGGGAATAACTTACCTTCACTTTTCACAAATCCACGTACATTCCGAAATTATGTCTATGATAAACGTTTGTAGTCCTTAAAAGGTTTTGCGAAATGAAGAAAAAAATCATGACGTTCGTATTTTGGATCCCAAAGTTATGATTGTCCAAAGTTTGACGAGGATTTTTAGCGTTCAAGGAATAAAACTTTGTCAATATATTATTGTTTCAAAAGAAGAGTTGTAGTCTGGTGGTGTAGATATTGTCCTAAAGTTAGTTAACTATTTACTATATCTGGGTTTGAACCACCATCTCCACAACATATGGTTTTTTTTAATCTTTACTAATTAAAAAATCTTAATATAGGATTATTGGAATTCGAACCTAGGACGTCTTGTACACAATATTGTGCCAAGACCACTTATGGTATTTATTTGGAAAAAAAATATATAATAACTGCCGGGTGGGGGTGTGGTTTGCAACCAAACCGCTCCGCCCCCACGCGATCAACAAACTGTCCCTACCCGTGCGGTTTTCGTCGAAAACCGCGCCCCCGGGTGGCGAATTTCGTAAAAGGGTGCTATTTTTGAAATTTTTTGGGGTTGGGTGCTATTTTTGAATTTTTTTTTTAAACAGTATATTTCTAGAAAAAGTCCAGAAATGAGTCAATCTATTAATTCTAGGTTCACAGATAACAAGTTGATGGACAACTCTAGATCTTGATTTTTTTTAGAAATTTGTAAATATGAGTTATGTACCTTAAAAAAATCCACCAGAAAGAAAGTATTTTTTCTTCATTAAATTGGTCATTTTTCTGAGTACGTTTCTACTATAGATCTACTTCTCATCTGCTAGTCAAGCGTAACAACTAGTCTTGCAAAATCATGCAAAGAGTGAATTCCAACCAACTTTGCCCCTTCACCAACTTGCACATCCATGTCAACTTATTTATATCAAGCTGGTTGGGATTTCAAGCTTTCTAGCATTTTTTCTTCATTAAATTGGTCATTTTTCTGAGTACGCTTCTACTATAGATCTACTTCTCATCTGCTAGTCAAGCGTAACAACTAGTCTTGCAAAATCATGCAAAGAGTGAATTCCAACCAACTTTGCCCCTTCACCAACTTGCACATCCATGTCAACTTATTTATATCAAGCTGGTTGGGATTTCAAGCTTTCTAGCATTTGTTCTTGCATTCATCTCAACCTTGCCTTGTACTGATCTCTTTTACTAATTTCAGCCTCGGCCAATGGAAGATGAAAGGGCTCTTCTATCCATGTTCCTCGTGGTAGCTTGTTTCTTTGTCTCGTGGGTTTTCGTGCACAGATGGAACCAGAGGAACAAGAAAGGTCCAAAGACGTGGCCAATCGTTGGAGCAGCCATTGAGCAGCTGATGAACTTTGACAGGATGCACGACTGGCTAGTCAATTACTTGTCTGAATCTCGGACTGTCGTGGTTCCAATGCCATCCACTACATACACTTACATAGCAGACCCTGCAAGTGTTGAGCATGTTCTCAAAACCAACTTTGCTAACTATCCAAAGGTATAAGTAAAAAGAACGGCCAATTTTCCACCTTTCTTCTGCAGTATTTTCAGGTACTAACAGTTAATATGCTATGAAAACAAGGGAGAGACGTACCATTCATACATGGAAGTTCTGCTTGGAGATGGGATATTCAACGTCGATGGTGAGCTCTGGAGGAAACAAAGGAAAACAGCTAGCTTTGAATTTGCATCCAAGAACTTGAGGGATTTCAGTACAGTTGTCTTCAGAGAGTACAGCCTTAAACTCTCTGCTATTCTCACTCAAACTTCTTTCCACAACCAAACAGTAGATATTCAGGTATAATGTTCAATTCAACACTGAAGTTTGTCTAATGTATTCTTGTTCCTATAACTATCTGACCTGTAATTTCTTGCACAGGAACTTTTTATGAGGATGACTCTGGATTCAATATGCAAAGTCGGGTTTGGAGTGGAGATAGGAACTCTTGCACCGAACCTGCCAGAAAATCAGTTTGCACAGGCTTTCGATACTGCAAATATCATCGTGACACTTCGGTTCATCGATCCTTTGTGGAGGATCAAGAAGCTGTTCAATGCAGGCTCAGAAGCTCTACTCGACAAGAGCATCAAAACAATCAATGATTTCACGTATTCTGTAATCCGAAGAAGGAAAACAGAACTAGAAGAAGAAGCTCAAGCACCTTGTAAAGATAACAAGGTGGTAAGTTCTATTCATTCAACAATAATGACAACTACCCCTACATATTCCACAGACACCAATGATATGTTTGCTTTCTCGTGTGGCAGATGAAACAAGACATATTATCAAGGTTCATAGAGCTAGGCAAAGACCCAGAGAGCAAAATGACAGACAAGGGCCTAAGAGATGTTGTTCTCAACTTTGTGATAGCCGGTCGAGACACGACAGCCACAACTCTCTCATGGGTTGTTTACATGATAATGACACATGGACATGTAGCCGAAAAGCTCTACATGGAGCTCAAAACATTTGAGAATGAGAGAGCAAATGAAGAGAATGCAACATTGATTCAATGTGATGATGTGGATGACATTGAATTATTTAACAAGCGTGTAATGCAGTATGCAGGGCTTTTGAACTATGATTCATTAGGGAAACTGCATTACCTCCATGCTGTGATTACAGAGACACTTAGGCTTTACCCAGCAGTCCCTCAAGACCCAAAAGGCATCCTAGAGGATGATGTGTTACCAGATGGTACTAAAGTGAAAGCCGGAGGCATGGTGACTTATGTACCCTATTCCATGGGAAGGATGGAGTATAACTGGGGACCTGATGCAGCTTTGTTCAAGCCAGAGAGATGGCTGAAAGATGGGCTGTTCCAGAACTCGTCTCCTTTCAAGTTCACAGCATTTCAAGTAAGTCTTTTCTAGAACCACTTTGCCACTAAACCAATCTTGTAATGGTTGGAGCTAAAGGGAGCTCTCTGTCTGTTGATGTGTTTGCAGGCTGGACCAAGAATCTGCCTTGGTAAAGACTCAGCATATCTCCAAATGAAGATGGCACTAGCCATTTTGTGCAGGTTCTTCAAGTTCAATTTGGTGCCAAATCACCCAGTTCAATACCGAATGATGACCATTCTGTCGATGGCACATGGCTTGAAGCTGAAAACAGTTAGATGCTTGTGACATATAAGTATATTTATGCAAATCACTAAATGGTTACTGTACTCCATGTTGAATAACCACTAGAAATTCAGAGTTCTAAACTGAACTAACAAGAAAGTTCTAATTGCACCATGAGGGATCACCATATAGATCAAACAGCAATCTTTCATAACACATCATAAAAGTGATCATACACCATAAATGAGGAATAAATGAAGAACTCGTCACCTCATTTCCAATATGAGTTTCTTGGTTCAACACGGAGGAGGCTTTATACAGATAGCTTCAAAGATTTCAAGTACACAGCGATTTAGGAGTTAAATATTCATGCATATGATGGAATAAGGTAACTGGAAGGACATCATGGTTTGCACTTAATTAAGTAACTTCTGCTTCTTCTCTTGCCACTCACGGATCTCAGTATCAACCTTGGCCTGAACAGTTGCATGAAATCCAGGGTACGGTTCATAACCGAAGAAGGTCTGCAGAGTCTGAGAAAGGGCAGAGGAAATTCAATGGAACGTGGCAGAAGGAAAATTGCCGAAAACCAGTGTAAGTGATGAAATGAGAAACCAGTTATTACCTCCAATAACACAAAGAAGGGAGCCATTAGAAATGCTTGAATGAGGTTGTCCAAAAGAGCTGGTGCTCGTTTCTATAGAACATCAAATCAACACTTGAGCCACAAAACTAAATTCAATAAGACATCACTGAATTTCAAGATTAGAAGATTACTAAACCTCAAAGACACCATGCCCAATGAACTGTCCAGTCCAGCATACTATCTGGGCAACCACAACAACCTGAAACAACATATAAATGGAGCTCTCAGCACATGAATTAGATTTCCCCAACTTGAAGACAAAAAATGGACAACTTATATATGACGCCAACTTCAGGTATGACTGATAAAATCAATCTAGTTTTTATCACTAGTGTCCCACAAGCAAAAAATGGATTCTCAGCTTGATAATCAATGAGTTTTGGCTTCATGGCAAGACTAACAAATTTGTTGGGCAGAGTCTAAACAGTATCGAAGCAGTAAAAACAATTACAAAGTCAAAAGTACAGCTCCAGAACTTTATCAGCGTGGTTAGGTGGTGGTGTACTTTAATCAGATGAAAAGCCAAAGATGTCAGCATCTTTGTTTCAAGTACATATTCAAAATCAGAACGACTTGAGTTTAAGAATTTCAGAAACACAATCAGAGGAACTACAATCAACGTAGGTGAGAAAGCGATATATAAAAAAATCATGTTCCTTTTCACTTTCGTCCCACCTTCCAAGCAAGGGAGAATCCGAGCCAGCAACCCAAGAAGCTGCTGGCTACCCAGCAGAAGAGCAAAAGCAGAGCAGCCAAGGAGCCAGCTTTCTTATCCAAACAGATATAGAAAACACCATAGATCACTGTAAACAACAACCCGACATTGAGAACTAGAAAGGCATCGATCCCCAAGAGGGAGAACTCAAACTTGGGCTGTAAAGAAGGCGTGAAGTAGAGAATCAATTGGGCAGTGAAGAGAATCGGCCAGACGAATATCATGTGAATCAGAATGTTAGTTGGGTTGCTGTGATAAGCTCCATAGAAGGCGAAGTGCCGCTCCAGATCAAACAGCGAACACCTTCCCATGAAAACGAAAACTGGAACTCAGTTTTTCTATATGCCTGGTCTGGGAGCTCTGAAGAGAAAACAATAATTGGGTATTGTCAATTTGATGAACAAGGAGAAGGGTTGTGTCGATTAAAAGGAATCAAGGGATGAGATACTGGAAAATGTCGAGACTTTGGTCGATGGGAAATAGAAGAATACGAAGGATGGGAAAGCTTTGGGCTTTGGAGGGTGGGAGAGGCGGAAGAACAGAGGAAGCCGCAAAGTCCAAGGAAACGAATACAAAAATACAAGCATGTAAAGGAATTCGGCAAAAGTTTGGTTTTCGTTGGTTAGGTAGGTGGCTTGGGAATGGATCAGGTCAGTAACCTTATGGTGAGTAACCATGAATAACCCATCCAAATCAGCATGACATCAGCATCCTCCCTCTCATAGAAAACCTTTAATTTTTCCCTCTTTAATCTTTGACGAACGATTTCTCGCTCATTTTAAGTCGAAATTTAATTTTTTTTGCACAGTTAGATCAGATTAATTGTGCTCTTCAAAATGATATCCACTTTAATATATTTTTCGAACAAAAAAAAATTGAGCCATTTTTTACCAGCCTATACCATATGGTATTGACTGGTATTGAAATAAAAGCATACCTATGTTTTGAAAAACGTACCATGGTGGTATGAACAAACCAATACTGTAGGATGGTTGAATACATGATAGTAGAAGTATATTAATTGTAATTTACGACTTTTAACATTGTATACCACACAATACCACCCCGTACCAGGGTGGTATTGTATGGTATTGTGTGGTATTTTTTGGTCCTGTAATTTGTTCACCCAGAAATTTGTAGATCCAATAGATCATGATGAACTCGTCCATTCTGTGCAAACGTTTTCAAAAACGAATTAAAAACGAAGAAGATACCATACAATACCACCCCGTACCAGGGTGGTATTGTATTGTGTTGTGTGGTATTTTTTTGTCCTGTAATTTGTTCACCCAGAAATTTGTAGATCCAGTAGATCATGATGAACTCGTCCCTGCTGTGCAAACGTTTTCAAAAACGAATTAAAAACGAAGAAGATACCATATGGTATGCAGTTGGTACCGAGAGGCCAGAATTTTTTTTTCCTCAAAAAATATTGAAAATTGATCTCATTTTGTAGAGCACGGTGAACTCGTTCCATCTGTGCAAAAATAATTAAAATCCGAGTTAAAACGAAAAAGATATGAGTCAATTAAGAAAGCTAGTGAAAATAAAAATAGCCTTTAATTCTCCATCCTTAGATCTGGATTTTCTAAATGAAGGGTCCAGATTTGGTTATTGATGGGTGCATAACCCATGGTTATGCACCCTATCTTGAGCCAGGTGGCTTTAGGTCATTGCTTTGCTGGATACTTGATACTCATCCCAGATTTTGCTCCCTCGTGACAATGCTTATTAGTTTGTTTTATCCTGTAGGGCAGCGTGGAATTGATTACCTGCTTTGTTTCGCTTCGGTCTCAATTGGCCTTCCACAAAGCATTACGAATCCTTGATTTGAATACTGGTGTCTGGTTAATACTTAATAACACTGTTATAAGACCGACCCGAGTCGGTTGGTCCGACCGCCAGACACCCGGTCGTCATCTCGGTTCAGATCAGTCAAATAGCCGCTTCGGGTCAAATGGCCGTTAGGTGAGCTGTCAACACGGTTAACCGTGCGAACCGCTCATACCGCTCAATCGGTTTTTCATTTTGGGCCGCCTGATTTTAAAATAAAATAGAAAATATAAAATGCAAAATTGCGGGTTGAAAAGTCTGGCGAAACTTGGAACCCTAATTTTGCTTAACACTCGCCTGCCTCCCCTTAGAAAAAACTGAATCTGGTCACCATCGCCTTCCGATGGAGGTTGGGTTCTCGACAAGGAGAGACGACGACCTGAATTGTTTGTAATCGAGAGAGATTGGAGAAGAGGGAAAATTCGGGTAGGGGCGGAGCTCTGAGAACATGCGAAGGGGAATGGAAAAAAGAATAGTAGAAGAAGACAAGAGAATGGCAACGGCGATTGAAGAGGGAAATGGGAAGCTACGTCTGCGTGAAGGAGAGCAAGAGGGAGGGTGGGGGGAGAGATTCTCTTTTTTGTTCTGTGTTCGTGGGAAAGAGGGGAGGAGCGGCGGGGAAGAATGAGAATGGTGTGGGGTGGGGAGGTATCGGTGTAGTGTCGTTAGGCTAGGATTTGCACTTTGCAAATTATTATTATGTAATGGAAAATTACAAAGGGATACATGAAATTAAATTTTATTTTAGTCATTAAATTATTAAATTAGTACCTTATGTGTCTTCTACTTATGATATTAATTTTTATAAGATACCGGTTCTCTAACGATTTTTTCACGGTTTAATACCGATTGGACCACTAAAGTACGAGCCGTTCACATTATCGGGTCATGCTTCGGTTCGGTTCTGACAACATTGCTTAATAGTATCATATTGAAAAGAAGAAAAAAAAACATTAGTGACATATGCGTGTTTAACATTTTCTGTTAAAAGGATTCAAAAAAAAATTATGTTAAAAGTTATCTTAATTAGTTTCCACTTTTACCTTCTTCCGGTCATTTTCTTCGTTTCTCACTCTTTCAGGAGAGTTTTCAAATTTTCTCCTGGTTTTACCGGCTATTGGAATGGATCTATCGATGGTAAATGCGATTTTCTATTTTCATCTTCTTCATGTTATCTCCCATTGCCATTGGTAGTGACTACAGTCATATGAATGGTAGAAGAACTTGTGTTGAATTCGAATTGCAGATCTATTATAATTTGTAGGTTCCCCCACTTTAAAATTCGTTGGTGTCATAAATTTGTTTGGTATATAAAAGTCACGATTTCATGTTTACTATTCATTAAGAGGGGTTTTAGTAATTTTATCAAATTTTAAGGATAAATTTTCAAGGAGTACTTTGGCAACTTTCTAATAGTTTCTCTCTTTTTGTTATAACTCATTATCTCCCTATTTCTTTCCTCTTAACCATGACTTTTATAATTGTTGGTATATAAAAGTCATGGTTCCATGTTTTCTATTCATTAAGATGATTTTTTGTTCTTTGTGTTGAAATTGATTTTTTCGTATTTGGTTTTGTATTCTTACTATTCTCTTGCATTCGAGACTGACTTTCGTTTGTGGTTTTGCAGTTTTACTCATCTCTCTCGCTCGAGTCGAATAGGAAGTTAATGATGTAATTTCTCACTCTCAATCAAAAAGGACGGAAGTAACATTAGAAGCAACGAAATACATAATTTTTGTTGATTTTTTCATATTCTGTATTTTTCTTCTCTTTTCCATCTTAGTTGAAAATCCGTGTTAAATTCTAAGTTTTTTTTTGTTTGTTGGGCATAATAGATGCATAATGATTTATCTCTTTGCTAAATCAAATAGGTTTTTCTTACTCAATAATGTGTGGATTCGTAGCCTCATTGGCAAGTGTCAGAGCAGAAGCGTGCAAACGATAATCCAGAGTTCCACAAACGAACACAAATTTAATGTGGTTCACTAACACAATGTGTGCTAGCTATCCACGGGCAGGGGAGAACAAATTTCACTGATTTTAAGGAGAGTACATGTTACAAACCAAAATCCGGAACAGACAAACCAAGCAAACTAACCTTACTACAGATTAGGGTGATGAAGAGTATTTATAGAACACTTCTCCTAATCCCAAACAGAAAACCAAAAACCTTTTCCCAAACATACAAGGAAAAGGTCAAAACAAAGCTCAAACACAAACCCAAATAAAATAGGCCCAAAACACAAATCAAACCCAAATCAAATTCAAGTCATATTCTAACAATCTCCACCTTGACTTGAATTTTCTCTCAATTACCAAATGTACCAGACGCAACCAAAGTTGCCAGATGTACAAGATGCAACCAAAGTTGTCAGATGTACCCAACTCCTCCAAATCAGCTATACCAGAATCTCCCCTGGCTCCAAATGCCCAAACCATTCGGCAAGTCCAACCCATGTTGAGACTTGCCATTCAGAACCAGCTTGGTGCACTTATCACCAACAGAACATGTCAAAAAAAAAAAACCTTGTAGATAATACAAGGCACCCCGTTTGACACCTTTCAAAATCACCTTAGAACCCTTGTAGACAGACAACACTCCAACTTCACCTTTGAAACTGAAACCCTTACCGTCGAGTAGACTCAAAGATATCATATTCTTAGTCATCTCTGGAATATGCCTAACATTGTTCAAGGTGCGAACAAAACCATCATGTGTCCTCATCCGGACGGATACTCTTCCAACAATCTTACAGATAGCACCATTGGCCATAGAAACATGTCCTCCATCTATAGGTTCATAAGTTGAAAAACACTCCCTGCTTGGACACATATGATAATCAGCTGCAGTATCTAAATACCACACATCCTGATGATGTACCTGTTCATTCACTGCTAAGGCTAAACCATCTTCAGAATCAGAGCTACTTTCTTCCGCCACAGCAACAGATGATTCCTTCTTCTCCTGATATTTCTTTATTTTAGGACAATCGAATTTCCAATGCCCTTTCTCCTTACAGTAATGACATATATCATCCTTCAAACCAACAGAATTCGAATTTATATTCGCCTTTCTATTACCATATTGTTGTCCACTACTTCCCGTAGCAGCCAACCGAGATGCCTGATTTTCCGAACCTGAACCAGACGCCTTATGTCGAACCTCCCTAGTATGTAAAGCAGATCTGACATCTTCTAAAGACAAACTATCTTTCTCAGCAATACAAGAATCCACAAAATTCTCGTATGACTGTGGCAAAGATACTAACAGAATTAAGGCAGCATCCTCATCATCTACTTTAACATCAATATTCCGCAAATCTAACAAGATAGTATTGAGTTGATCTAGATGATTCCTGAGAGGCATACCTTCCTCCATACGCAAACTGAACAAACGTTGCTTCATATGCAACTTGTTGGTTAAAGACTTTGTCCTGTATAGACTTTCAAGCTTCAACCACAAGCCCGCGGTAGT